CACTTTTATTATTATTACTTTTACCGAGAATTGCAACATCATGAAAATACATCTCGAACCACGTCGCATCAATGCACCCGTGGTTGTTGACACATTTTAACTCTGTTGAGATTTGGATTTGGGTCGCATAAATGTGCACCCGAGTTTAAGAAGATAACATTGTTAAATACGCGCCTAAAGCGACTAGCGTATCATTATTTTGGGTAGGGCCGTAAAATTTTGCTAAACGATCCATCCCGAAGTCTAAGTAATTTTACAAACACGTATAGAGGGCCCCACAGCTTACGATTTTTTTTTATTTTTTTTTGCGAAGCATGCCTCATTTATTTTAAGGATATCCTAAAGTGACTACATTTCTATTAAATTCGTCTCTAAAATAAAAGAGAAAAATCCTAATTAAATACATGCTTAAAAAAACGTAACATATTAATTGCTAGATTAAGACAAATGTTTAACGGAAAAGAAGATTACTAAAATTGAAATTATAAATAAAATACGGAATCGACAAATAATATATTCAAAAGAAACTAATTAGCCTATAATTAGATTAAACTCGCATTATTAGACGAATTGAGTCATTGCGACTAAATGCTTTTCAACTACTTGAAACTAAACCCACCTTAATTACTGATGCTTACGAAAGTTTGTTGAAGCTAGCTCGTTAACTTGAATAACCTATTGGATTAAGGTTCTTATCCTTTCGACATTGAATCGCGCTTCAAATATGTCAAGCCTACGGATTCTATAAAATTAATGGCCTTTTTATTTCTGCCTAAAACTGGCAGAACTAAACCTATTCAACACTTACCTCTTCAAACCAAACAAGCCCCCTTTTAAACAAACAAGCTGCCTGAACCAAACCTTAATATCTAATTCACAAAATTAGCCCAAATTCGTGCCTTAACTAGGTTTATCTACATGTTCACGATTAACCTATTATTTCAGACTGATGCCGGCTCCAATTAGGATTACCTAAACTTGTTCTATTCCAACAACTTGATATATTTATTTAAAACAAAACAAAACCCCAACTATCATACATTGAAACTAAGGAAAATTGTAGAAAAAAAAACAGTTCAGTCAAATATAAATCCTATAGTCCACCTTCTTTATTGAATTACAAAGCTAGACTATAAAACTACCTATTATTTGACTATTAAGTTATCAGTACAACTTAAATACTCGACTTTTCGAGCATTGCCTTTCATTTTTTTTCAATAGCTACATGACATTGTGATTCGAGAATGTACCTGGTAATAGAACAAGAGAAGAAGAGGAAGATCAGCAGGACAGCAGTAAACAACACAACAACAGCAACAATAACCAACATGCAGCTAGCAGTCCCGAAAACCAATGGAGAAAAACCCAGAAAAAGCAGTGAAACAGCACCAATACAAAACAATGCAACCCGGGAAATAACAGCTTAAGAAAACCACTTAAAACTTTAGTGAAAACCCCAGAAATATTTAGCAATTAGGTCAGAACCAGAATGTATTCAGAAATGCAGAAGATGCAAGGAGACAGTCCTGATTTTTCAACCCTCAAAACAGAATCACTATCAAACAAACTCTCAGTTTTCTTCAACACTCAAAACTCAGCCCCACAGTTAAAGCTGAAGTTTTTTTCTTCAAAATGGGATCAAATTTTCAGAAAAATCCCCCTCTTTCAGTCCTCAATCTGCCCTCTTATACAGCCATCTCCCCTTTCAAACTTAGTGCCCGACCCCTTTTCCTTATTCAAATTAGAATTTTTCCACTAACAATCTGGTTTTTTCACTTTAAATTCCACTAAGGAAGCTTTTCCTTAATTTCAGCCCCCCATTCCCTTTTGTTCCCCATTAGTGTATTAATTAATACCCCACTAACAAAGCACTAATATTAAATTATAATCCTAACTATTTCATTCCTAAATCGATCCTGAAAACCCCTGAATATTACTGCCTCCTAATACAACTATTCAACTGTATTAAAATCTTAATTCTGAAATCTGTTTAACTAACAATTAACCAAAACTGATTTGATTAACAGCTATAACCAATTCAGCTAGTACTTTACGGTGGAAAATACATCAAATATAAAGGTTCCAGTGATTCAGAACAATGCTCATAATCAAAACAGAATCTGAATTAATCGGATAACTAACAATTTGAAAACTATAAACAACAGAATGCCGAATGATTCAAACTATACGAACGACCTAATTAACGAAGCTTAATTAACCGATTATATATTACAATTGACACTAAACAAATCATCAACAAAGCAATAGGCAATCAGTGTTGTTGACAGAATCATAGACTAACAGGAAACTAATTAATCGACGCAACTTATTAATCGATTACACAATTTATAACACATAATGATTACAGCAAACATAAACAAATGACAGAATTGGACCAAATAAAAAGGTCCACTGAAGATGAACTGAATCAATTGACAAAAAGAATTTTAAAAAAATAAAACTAAACTAACAAATAAACAGATACATAGATAAAAAAACATGAACACGGACAAAGGAAAAAAGAAAAATACCTCAGAATACCAGAACTATACGGACACAAGCTCGAAACTCGGACTCAGACACTTTGAGGTCGAACAGACCTTAGTCGAAGTGTTCTCAACTGAGAACACTTCGATTAAGGTCGATTAGACCCCAAATCCTCACTTAATTTGGACGGATTCCATGATTTGGAATTTCTAGGGTTCCTGATTTTCGATTTAAGGTTTGAACATTTCTAGATAGATTTGAACGGAACCAAAGTCATTTATGGTATGAGGAAGGTCTGGGGGTTGCCTGGTATGAATTTGGGGTTGGTTGGTGTAGGTTTCCGTTTGGCTCGAATCTTCAAATGAAGATTCGAGAAGATGGGGGAAGATTCGAACCAAATGAGTAACATATTTGGAATGGGGGTGGTCAGATGATCTTATGGTGTTAAGGTGGTGGCTGGCGATGTTGTTGCCGGCGGGTTTCAAACGGAAGGATTTTAGGGCGGCTAGGGTTTTGGGGTCCATCTCTGAGAGAGACGATGAACAGGGCAAAAGGGGGGGTTTGGTTTGGGGCATGGGGTGAGAATTAGGGGCTTATATACAAAGGGGAGGGATGGATCCTGGCCGTTGGATCAGGTGAGATTGATGGCCAGGATCTCTTCACTTAAGGGAACGGTGCCATTTTGTTTAAACATGGGGGTTTGGGTCGGTCTCAGACGGGAGTGGGTCGGGTCATGAGGGAAGGCCTGAGAGCTATTAGATCAAAAGCAATGAACGGTCCCGATTAAATACAATCACACGACATCGTTTGGTTTAATGAAAGAACTGAACTGGACCGTTAGATCTATTTGATCAACGGTTCAGATGGAAAATGCCAATACGGCGTCGTTTGGTTGTCTTTTAAGATTAACTGGACGGGCACCATCAAAATGACATAGCTCTTGCCCTATACTACGTCGTTTGATGGTTTTTTGGGTTGACAGACCTGGGCCGGGTGGGCGTGTGACTTTTGGGCCTGAACTCTCTTTTTTTTAAAATTGGCCCAGTCCGAATTTACTTCATTTTTTTGAGCTCTTTTCCTTTTCCTTCTTTGATTTAATTTAAAANGTCGTTTGATGGTTTTTTGGGTTGACAGACCTGGGCCGGGTGGGTGTGTGACTTTTGGGCCTGAACTCTCTTTTCTTTAAAATTGGCCCAGTTCGAATTTACTTCATTTTTTTTGAGCTCTTTTCCTTTTCCTTCTTTGATTTAATTTAAAAACAATTCCTAATTAAATTGTAAAATCAAAAATAAAACTACACAAATATTAATTAACACTTACAACAATTAACACACAAATTAAAATCTTAAAATAAAATCACACAATGACAACAAATAGAATAAAACGCATATTTTTTGTGATCTTCTTTTTCAGAGCCAAATGACGGTTTAATTAATTCCTAAATGCATAATTAAATCCTAAATATGCATACAACATGTATTTTTTCTTTTGTATTTTTCAATTAACTACAACAAGGTAAACATTTGCAGACAAAACACAAATAATTGTCCAAAATGCTACGCAAATCCTAAAAATTGTACACCAAGAGAATTTTGTTTTATTTTTGATTTCTTTTGGAGTAGTTTTCATGAAGCAAAAATCACGTGCTCACACTGACCATGCTGCTCTCAGGTACCTAATTGAGAAGAAGGAGTCAAAGTCGCACCTAATTCGATGGTACTACTACTGAAAGAGTTTGACTTGGAGATCTATCACCGAAAGGGAATAGAAAACCAAGTTGCTGATCATTTGTCTAGACTTGAAGGAGCTGAAAAGAAGGTTGAGGTAGAAGAGATCATGGAGACTTTCCCAGATGAACAACTTTTAGCCACGAGTCTTGAGGTAACGCCATGGTAAGCAGATATTGCAAATTACCTGGCAAGCAGTATTGTTTCCTTATGCCTTGTCCTTTGTGCAAAAGAAAAAGTTCATTTGTGATTGTCGCATGTATTTATGGGATGGACCATAATTGTTTAGGATTTGTATTGATAACATGATCCAGAGATGCATTCCCGAGACAGACTAACCTTCTGTTTTGCAGGCATGTCATGCTTCCCCGTATGGAGGTCATTTTGGAGGAGTAAGGACAACTGATAAAGTTTTAGAGTTGAGTTTTTATTGGCCGACGTTTTTTAAAGATGCACACTTCTAGGTGAAAAGCTGTGATGAGTGCCGACGGACGGGGAATATTTCCCGCCGACATGAGATGCCCATGAACCCAATTCAAGAAGTGGAAGTATTTGATGTATGGGAAATTGATTTTATGGGACCATTTGTTAGTTCATATAGTAACAATTACATACTGGTAGCTGTGGACTATGTCTCGAAATGAGTAGAAGCCGTGGCACTTACAACAAATGATGCGAAAGGAGTTATTGGTTTCCTTAGAAAAAATATCTTCACCCGATTTGGTACTCTAAGAGCGATCATCGGTGATGGATACAACCAAGCCTTTGCAAAGTTGTTGGAAAAATATGGAGTTCGCCATAAGGTTGCCATTCCATATTACTCACAAACAAGTGGGCATGGGGAGGTGTCAAACAGAGAAATCAAGAGTATTTTTTACCAAAACTATAAATTCTACTCGGACTGATTGCGCGAAAAAATTGGATGATGTGTTATGGGCTTACTGCACTGCTTTCAAAAATCCGATTGGTATGTCACCATACAAATTGGTGTTTGTAAAGGCATGTCACTTACCAGAGGAGTTAGAGCATAGAGACTTCTGGGCGCTACGACAATTAAATCTGGACTTGGAGGCTGCTGGAACGAGCAGAGTCACAGAACTGCATGAACTTTATGAGTTCCGTTACCATGGTTTTGAAAGTACAAGGTTATATGAGGAAAGAACGAAGCTGGTGCATGACAAAAACATTCTAGAGCAAAATTTTAAACCTGGAGATGCGGTATTATTATACAATTCGAGATTGAAATTGTTTCCGGGAAAGTTGAAGTCAAGATGGTCAGGACCATTCCATGTGCAAGAGATGCATCCCACCGGAGCCATAGAAATTGCTTCAGAAGATGGTTCTCGCAAGTTTAGAGTCAATGGGCAAAGATTGAAACATTACTTGGGCATGAATTGGGGAAAAACTAGTATCGGTGATTCATTTGCAAGAGCCAAAAATGTTGAGTGAACAGTAAATTTCGATTGTTTACATTGTGCTGTGATGTTAAATCAGGTGCTTCATGGGAGGTAAACCATTGTGATGTTGTATTCATCATGCCGTGACATTAACTAAGGCGCTCGTTGGGAGCCAACCCAATTCTAGCTATAATTGGTGTTTTGTTTTGTTTTTTGTTATGCACTAACACGTTTTTAGCTACATCTTGGCGCTTGAACAGGTAAAGGAGCATGATGCTTAATGCACAATGAACTAGCCTTCAACCTAGAATTAGGCCACGCATCGCCAGGTCTTCAGTGTGCTAAACAGCTCGCCGAGCGAGGGTTAACGCGAGGTAAACCTTGCGGCACAGGTTGCGTCGCCAGGAAATTTTCTCGCTGTGGAGCTCGCCCAGCAAGGGTTATAGCGAGGCGTGTCTCGTGAGAGCCCTTGTGTCGTCTGTCTCTCAACTCGCGTTTGAGCTCGCCTCTCTAGGTATTTGGCTCGCTAAGGAGCTCATGTCTCCAGGTACGAACATGCCTCCTAAGAAGGATATCGGTAAAGTCAAGGGCAAAGCCACTGCTCCGTCCAAAGCCAAGTCTTCCTCCGCACCTCCACCAAAAAAGAGAAAAGGAGGGGAAGCCACTGATAACTAGGGATTTTAGTCTATTTTATGCTCCTTTTTGCTTGAGTTTTGGACTAAAATGTGTACAAGTATTCCCAAAAGCTAACTTGTTGTGCTTGTTTGTAGTGTTTGGTCAAAAAGAGACAAGGATGTCATAACCAGCTCAAAAAAGGAGTGAAACCTACACAAGTTCAAAACCAAGTCAAAGCAGCGCTACAACGGAAAATTCACCACGGATGCAGAAGACCCACCGCGACTGCGGTCCTTTTATTTCGGTTCGCGGTGGCAAGGTTCAGAGAGATAATTTTTTGGGATTGAAAGCTACCGCGATCCACGATGATTTTATGCGACCGCGGTACCCCTACCGCGACAACGGTCCTTTGACCACAGTCTGCGGAGAAGAGATTCAGAGAGCCAAAGATTGAAGCTAAAACTTGAAGACCGCAGTTCGCGGTTGATTTTACACGACCGCGGTAGCCTCACCGCTGCATCGATCCATTTTCCGCTGTCAGTGGTACCTCCTTCAGAGGCATTTTGTCCAAAAAATTTGGTTGTGTATAAATATTACTTTTTCAGATTTTTAGGTCATCTTACGTTAGTTGAGCACGTGAAACACCGTTTTTGTCTATTTTGAGAAATTTTATAGCTTACTTAGCAATTAATCTTTGTCTCTTATCGTGTAATTACAATTTATGGATTATTATTCATCTCATCATTTCTTCTTCAATTATGAGTAGCTAAACTCATTATCTAGGGTTGTGGCTCAACCCTAGTGTGGGTATTTAATGAGTCTTTTATTTTAGGGCTTATATATTTATGGGTGATTGTTATTTGGCCTGATTTATACTTTTTATGTTGAATTAGTGGTTGAAAATACTAATTTGTGCCTTTTTGACTTAGGCTCTTCTTGAGAAAGAGAGACTAAGTCTAGGAATTTCAGGCCAACAAGGAATTGGGGTGTATTTAAGAGTTTGATAGCCCCAATTAAAGGATTAAACCTAGATATAGTAATACCCGACTTGAGCCAACATTGCTTGCACAAATTGAACACCCAATTGGGCTTGAGAAAGCTAATTAGGGCAAAGTCACTCTTACTACCGAGAGGTGTAGAGTGAGTAGCTTCGTGCATTGGCTATATCACGATCCCAATTATAGCATTATTGCCCTAAGTTCTAGATCTCGTTATATACTCACCCAGGAATAAGTCACTTCCCTAGTGCCTCTTTACCTATTTAGAAAACCCTACAAAAATATCTACGTAGCTTAATTTCGCGTATCACTAGTATAAAATTAGAAGTAACAAATAAATAAGAGTGATTGGAAGTGTAATCAAGAGCACTACATACTGCTAGATTAGATAGGAATCCAACTCCAAACATTGTATTAGCTCCCTGTGGATTCGATCCTGACCTTCTCAGGTAAAAGCTGCATCGACCGCTCTTGCCACTCTGTAGTGGTGTAGGGTTGGAACCGATCACTTTTTGGTGATGTTGCCGGGGAACTAACAATTTTGGCTATCTATCTAAATAGTTTTGTGTATTGTTTTTATTTCCTTCTGTGATACTAATTTGTGTGTGTCGCCAATTCAGGTACAAAATGGCGAACAATAACAATGACCCTCTTGGAAATGCTATTCCGGGGGAGGAGGTAGATGACAATATTGATGATGAGGTACCTATAGTCCCTCAAGCTCAAAGGAGAGGCCGCTAGGCCAATGATAATATTCCAGACCCTCCCCTGCCACCTCCAAGAGCGGCTCCTCGGGTGTTTCCAAACGAAGGAGATGCTAGTGCAATTGTCCCACCCCGGATCTGGGCGGGCAATTTCCAAATTACAAATATGATGTTGATTTGTTGGAGAAACGAGGGTATTTCACCGGTGCTCCCCATCAGAATGCTTATAAATATCTTAAAGGTTTTGTGGATACCTGTTGGGGTAGCAAGCAAACAAATGTATCAGAGGATGCACTTCAGTTGAGATTGTTCCCTTTCTCACTTAGAGGGAAAGCTTTGGACTGGCTTGAAAGGCTTCCCAACCATTCCATCACTATGTGGGATGAGTTGGCAGACAAGTTTATAGCCAAGTTTTTCTCACCGGGGCATATGGCGACTTTGAGAGATGAGATTTTGGCCTTCAAACAGGAACCTAATGAACCACTTCACGAGATCTGGGAGAGATATTGGACAATGGTGAAAGAATGTCTGAACAATGATATGACCGAAGCAATGATTCAGCAGACATTCTACCGTGGCATTAACACGACCAATCAGTGTGTAGTGAACCAACTAGCAGGGGGAAATTTTATGAACACACCTTACGATCAAGCATGTGAGATATTAGATAAGATGGCAGATACTTCCTCAGCTTGGCAAAGTCGAGCTAATGTGCCACAAGGTGACCCCACTATCATCTACTTGCACAAAGAGCTCCATGATCATGCTCAGTCAATAGCAGAGTTAACTACCACAATGAACCAGTTGGCAAAAGCTCAATTGCAACAAGTTCAAGCTCCTAGACAAGTAAAGGCTATGGAAGGTGTCAATATGTTGGTCAAGAGGCGACAAAGAGGTCAACAAGGTCAAGGTAGTCCGGATCAATATGACCAAGGTAGTGGTGGTTTCAATCAAGATGAGGGCTATGATGAGTAAAATGAAGAAGTGCAGTATGTGAACAACTACCAAGGACAAAGGGGCAATGATCCTTACCAATAACAATAATGGAGATCCCAAGGAAATTGGGCGAATCAAAACCAACAAGGCAATAGCAACTGGGGGAACAACAATCAAAATTGGGGCAACCAAAACAATTAGGGCAACTGGAGCGGCAATAACAACAATTGGGGAGGAAACAACAACCAAGGGGTTTGGAACAATGGCAATCAAGGGAATCAGGCGCACGTTTTCCAAAGGCCTCCGATGTATCAATAACCAAACAACCCACCTCCATTTCCATCCCAAGGTCCTAGCTCATCAAACAATGAGATGGGAAGGATCGAGATGATGTTTGAACAAATGATGGAGAAGAACGCCGACTCTGATGCCCAGTTGGCATCCCACAATACTCCAATCCGAAATTTGGAGGTTCAACTTGGCCAGATTTCACAGTCTTTGCATACTCGCCCTAAGGGGGCTCTACCTAGTGATAAGGTAGTAAACCCGAAGTGTAGGAACAACACCGGGCATGCAATGACAATGATTACTAGAAGTGGTCGAGGTGGTGGTGTGAATACCTCCAAGTAAAAGGAAATTATGAGTAATGAGATTCAAGTGCAAGATGATGAGGTTCCTTTAGTTGATGAGCAAGTGAGAGAAGAGAATGTGAATGCGGAAGTGAGGATTGATGTACATGATAATGAGGTGGAGACCCAATATGACGTGAACTCGTCTAGGGAACACGTAATAGCCATACCAGAAATGGTAGTGCCCAAGGCTAAGGCTCCCTTGCCAAGGCTTCCTCCACTTTACCCTCAAAGGCTTGTGAAGAAAAAGAATGAGAACCAATTTAGAAAGTTTATTGACACGATGAAGAGCTTATCAATCAATGTTCTTTTGGTGGAAGCTCTTGAGCAAATGCCAGGTTACACTAAGTTCATGAAAGACTTGGTGACTAAAATGATATCCATGGACTGTGAGACCATCAAAATGACTCACAAGTAAGTGCAATTGTGCACTCGATGGATCCAAAGCTTGAAAATCCCGGCGCTTTCACCATCCCGTGTACCATTGGGAGCACGAATTTTGCAAAGGTATTGTGCGATTTGGGTGCAAGTATCAATTTGATGCCTTACTCCGTATTCAAAACTTTGGGTATTGAGCAACGGAAGGCTACTTCAATGAGGTTGCAAATGGCGGATGGTATTATGAAGAGGTCGTTTGGTATTATAGATGATGCTCTTGTTCGGGTGGACAAGTTCATTTTGCCCGCTGACTTTGTGATCTTGGACTGTGAGGTTTATTATGAGGTTCCGATCATATTGGGAAGACCTTTCCTTGCAACTAGGAAGGCCTTGGTTGATGAGGAAGCAGGGGAGCTCACTTTTCGGGTGGGTGATGAAAAAGTGGTCTTTCATGTGTGCAATTCAATAAAGCAGCCCAACAGTACTGAAGTGTGCTATTTCGTGGATCTTGTCACGGAAGTGATAGTTGATGATACTAGTGCAGTGATTAATATGGAGGACCCTTTAGAAGCGGTATTGTTGAACCTTGATGTCAATGAGGATGAAGGACGGGTAGAGTGTGTCAATGCGTTGCATGGAATGAGCTCTTACTCTTATAAGCCTTGAAAGCTCTCTTTGGATCTTGAGAATAGAAAAACTCCAACAACAAAGCCCTCAATCGAGGAACCTCCCGTGTTGGAGTTGAATCCTTTGCCTCCATACCTCAGGTATAAATTCTTAGGCCCTAGTTCA